ACTGGTTTTTTGTTTCGGGTTCGTACGCGTATATCCAGGATTAATCACCTGATACAATGTTGTATACAGCATTTGAGGATCCTGCGTGGAATCTTTCGAGAGTTCTGACGCACCAAGTAACGCGAGCCGCTTTTTGCTCTTCACAGAACGAATGCGGTATCCATCGGGAAAACAACTTTTTTACACTTAATTGTTCATGCAAGATTATTTGTATTTAACTCATGCTAATGTCTAAAGTTGTCTGAATTTCGCGGTATGTCACATGTCGATCTTCCTCAATCAGCTTATGCACAGCATTAACGTTTTCTTGGGTGACTGCAGTTTTTGGACGACCTTGACGGGGATCATCACTGAGCTTGACAGGTCCACGTTGAAATTCAGCAAACCAGCGATTGTGGGTTTGGATGGGGCTTCATCACCAAATGCAGAAATCATCCGGGCAACACACTGTTTTTGTGTTAAACCAATTCGAAAGTCATAATAAATCATCGCTCTTGAATTTTCTCGAGTCAAATCCATTTTCTCAACGACTAAACCAGTTTGACAAAACCTTGTGACAAGACCGAGAATCTTTTTTTTAAATGAATAAATGGTATTCGATTTTTAAAACCAAGGAGTTTTCAATTAAAAAGATTTTAATATGACAGGAACAGTGGAAATATTCCATTCCCGATACTTTTAGTGCAGCCTAGTACACTCTCAATAATAAGAAGCCTGCGTGTTACAGTGGAAAATATGTAGGCTGGTAAACTACATACGTCACACTCTTGGACACAGGCAATAGATGGTTTTGTATCTATTAATAAAAAAATGGTTGTCTGTAAAGTAGGTTTACGGACGATAGCTTAACGTGACAACGTCATAACAAAACATTGATGAAATAGATGTAAGTTGTGTGCTGCCCCTGTCTTTCTTCTTCTCGGACGCATAGGCCAATCGAACGGAAGAGAGATAGATGCGGCGCAAGCCGAACGCTCAAGCCGATCGTTGCTTTTCGCTCGTTCGTGCCGCGCTCTCGCTCCGATCGTGCTCGGCTCGGCTGGAGCGTAACGGGACAATGAGTCATCCTTTTTCGTGCATGCATCCGGCGTTCATCGATTTATTAGACGTTGTCACGTCAATAATTCTATTGAAGTTAAATTGTATATGAATTTGTTATCGATATTATCATGTTTATTGTGGCATTTCTCCCAACTCTAACGACGGCTCCCGGCAGCGGAAAACGTAACGAGTGATCGCTCGACATGACGCGACACGGCGGCACTGACTACCGGCGCATTATCGATAGGCCCGATGGAAAAAATCGATATGCTTTTGTAACTTAATGGTGACCTGTTTTTGTTGATCAGACCATTTTTATTCGTTCGATAGACTGAAAAATTGTAACGTACATTTTAAAAATAAATATTGGTTTGTATACCATAAAAACTTGAAATAACTTCATGATCTTAATTCAAAGTCAACAGTCACACACAACTTTTACGACTAGTGGTCATTCAACTTAACTGACAGAAGAAAAATGCTGTGAACCGTATTCACCTATATCTATCCTGGATTAAAAAACAAACTTCAGATACATTCACACCTCTTATGGCTAAGATGGAATACCTCGTTATCAGTCAAAGTAGTTGTTGTAGTTACTGATTCAGTTAATTATCTTAAAAAAGCTGGCATGACCGAACATACAAGACTATATGTTTTAACTTCAAACATTATTATTGCAATGAATTTCTGCTATATAACGTCTAATTCAATTTATTAACATCATGCTGCTTTCGCACGCTGATATTCTTTCAGAGCTTGGTCATCTCTGGCCAAGACGACCCATTTTTTCATAGAATAAGGGTGACACGAGCACACAGTTTACCTGATGATAAGTGAATGCCGTTGTCATCCCTGAGGACTAAGATGTAATGCCTCGTTTCTAGTAAAAAAAGGGTCTCCGGATCTCTACACTCACCATACGAAACACGCAGAAGCAGTATTAAGCAGTATTAAGCTGCTATTTTACGCTGGTATTCTGTGAAAACGTGGTCCTTCCCCGGTCGAGCCGATCCGTTCGTGCTACAACCGTAATATGGCATGGCTCTACCACGTAAAAGTATATGAGAATTTTAATATGCTGTAATGAATGAAAGAAAAATAATTAGTTCAATTTACGTCCGCCATATTTATTTTCGAGTCGTCATAGTTAATCGAGAGTCGAAACCGTCATGCGATCTACATTGCTCTCGTTATTATGATAGATCTATTGAAATTTAATTTGTCAAAATCCGACCACTAGTTTAGTAATAACTTAAACTGTAACAAGTGTACGTAAATATATACAAACTCGGATTAGCTAAAAGTAGTACCCTTCTTTTGGGTTTCAACGTAGTCGGTTAAAATGAAAACCACCAACTAGCGAATAAATCGTAATTGTTTTTGGTTATGGTTTTTTTAAGTTACCAATTTGCCTATAGTTTTAGGAGACAACCTGTAATATTTATTGCTGATGTAAAATAAATACCATAGATTACCGAACATATTATACCCACAATAAAGGAATGGTATGATATATTATAAGCACTTAGGGTTTTTCTTATGCCTCATTAACTCATTATAAACGAAACTTTTGTGAAACATTTTATTTTTGAAGCATACTAATAATAATTTTAAACCCTTTTTTTTCTGAAAATGTAACAAACGTAAGCTACTCGTTGATTGATTATGCCAAAGATTTCTTTGGATTATGCCGGCTAAAGCTTAGCTGCTAAACAAGGCCAGCCCGGATATACCCTGCCATTCAATTGCCCCTTTTCTTTACATCCGGACCCGGGCCTCCGGCTCGCATCACAGTATTTGTGTCACTACAAAGGAAATGAGAATCCGCACTTCCCTAGCGCCGAATGAATCTGTTAAAATGTGTGATGTTACGTAACACGTACATTTCCATATAGATAAAAAGATTCGTCGGTATCTGGCCGCTTACACTCGCTACTGGTGAAAAAAGAAAAATATGACATGTGTTATGTTGAGACTTTGCGGAAAGGGAACCGAACCGATGGGATTTGTATCTGTAAAATGTTTAGGGTTACTTTTTAATGTTTGCTTCGTTAGTTTGTTACAAGTAGGAATTTTTTCGGCGATAACTTCTGCCGGTGGATTGTTTCTTCTTTATTATCTTTTATTTAATAGTTTGGATTTTGATAGGAAAAGCGATGTAATTTATACACGTAGTATTAATTGTCTGCGCTTGTGACCTATTAGTTGAAACGACGTAGCAACTGCTCCGATGGTGATATAAATTTCAAAGTTTTTTATTAGATTAAGCGGCTTGAGTTACTATCGCTATCAATTATCCGCTGGATAAAGCTGTCCAATGGAAAACTCCACAATATCACATCAGCATATTGTGGAGAAATAAGTGAATAAAATACACTCAGACAGGTCTGTATGATGTAACACTTTTGCCTACCCTAATTAGCGAGTAATAATTGTTAACAAGTCCGAGTGAATGATACTTTGTCCAAGCACCAAGTACTTATTAAAGATTGAATCTAATATTTCAATACTATAAAATTAAAAAAAAAATTATTAAAACCTAAACGTTGGATCACTTTTCCGACAGGTTGCGCGACTTCGACGGCTAATAAAAACTTTACTTCTCACCATTGAAGTAACTTCTCACTTGCGATATCAAGAAAGGCCAATAAATTTAAAATTATTTCAACTACATACTTAAAACTTAGAATGCTTTTTATGTCTATTTATACAGAGAAGAATTTGATAACTAATTATATATAAATATAAATAATAAATATAAATTTAACTCCTTTCCTAATACTCAAAAACATAATAGTGTTTCTTTTATGTTTCTTCTTTGAACTGTTTTAGGTTTCGATTAAATTAAAACGAATGACACGTGAGTGTGAAAGGACGTTGATAATAGCTTGTATAGATATTTTATACGTTGTCACAGTTCCAACTGGCGTAAATATTCTCGTAACCGCTTAATTACCACGAAGCGAAGCATATACCTTAACTTAAGCTGAAGTACGAGTATTCCTGATTCCTATTTATACGTTTTGCGTGGGTTTAGCAACTCTGTTTTTGAAGCAGTTTGGAGCTTTAGTTGAATGTAGGTAGTCTTCTTATGTGGTAACCTTCACTGTAATTTGTATCAAAACGCATATAATATATATTTAGAAAAACGTTTTGCGGTTATAGCAGAATCGAGAATAAAGCTCTAAAAATCTGATACCTGCGACTAAGTTGGCCACTGTTCTCATCTCCTGGCTGGGGCACCCACGTGCCAGCTCCTTTCACTCGACCGCAGCCACCGCAGGGCGGCCTGAATCACGGACGACCAAGTTCTTTCTGTTCGTTTTAACTCACTGGCGCTGGGAAGAGCTGTTCAATCTATTTGCATATTCTATCGCATTTACTACAGGAGTGTTCAAAGGAATTATTTGGACTAATTCCTGTTGCCAAATTTCACCACCGCACATCGCGATTAATTTCGCCATACTATCTATCAGTGTGTGATTAAGTTTTCTTCCTCGCACAATTTCTATGTAATCGGATACCACCAGTGATTTTCCCGGTGTTCCGGTAGTTTTATGACCGTCCTGGCCAATAAAACTTGGTTCGTGTGGTAATCTGATCTGACTCTAAAAATACTTCAAATATTGTGATTGTTATAATGATGATTGGTGATGACGACGATGAAGAAGAGTGTTGACCTACAATTGAAATCGACTGCCATTCGTCCATACCAGGCCATCATAACAAATATAGAGCGCATTTGCATAACTTTAATATTGACACATATTCGATGAAACATTGTGAAAGGAGGCGCCTAACTGCCCCTTTAGTGGCAGGTGGGCAGAGCAATATAACACCACCGCGCCACCTGTTGCTGCGACCCCGATACTATCGGAGTAATTGCCGAGCCGAATCTACGGCCGGATTGCTCCTGGCAATTTCGTTCCACCTGTTATTATTACAAATTATTTGATATGTCGGAGACGGAAGACCGAAAGGTGTTTTTGCGTCCGTGTGCGTAAAATTATTGTGATCAAGGCTTAGTGTTTCTGATTTACATTTGACGTGTTTTTTCATTTTTATAGATACTGAACTAACTTTTTATGAATTATGTTATATTAAAATGCCTAACCTAAATAATTTGTTATTCGCGTCGTCAAACCGAAAGGAAGGTTTTTCCTTACTTTCAATTTATTTTCTTTTATAACTTTAACCCGTTCTAGAGATTTTTTTATACGTTCATGTGCGAACAATATCTATATAAAAACTTTCAATTTGGATCTAAATAAAAAAGAAACTTTTTTATAAAGGAATATTAACAATGCTATAAACATTACTAATATTCCCTTTAACCACTCGTGGTAAGCTTAAATTGCTTGTGTTACGAGTGGTTCACGCCAGTAGTCGAATTGCGGATTCGAACCCACGACCTTTTTGAGTTCGCGATCCGTGCCCTGCCATTAGGCTACTGTCGCTTAATCTTAATCTGCTATTCGTATTAGATTTAATTTTATCACGTCTTATCTTTTTAGAACCACATTTACCCTTAGTAAGTACGTTAAAATCATAACATAATCTTATAGTAAACAGTTTATTTGCATTTCCATACGCTGTCGTAAACAGAAACGTCATGATCCCGTGCAAGGTGAGCGTGACGTGACCCAAATTTTTTTACGGAACGGGAAGTAATCAAGACGACGGTCCTCCGTCTTTGTAAAGTGCCTGTCGGGGGAAGGTTTAAGTGGTTTCTATTAGGAAGTGTATTACGATAAAAAAAACCTACAGCTAGTGTTAAAGCCCTTATTTGCTAAATTGAATGTGGGATTCGTATATAACACAATAAACAATCTTTAAATGAATAGTTTAGAGTGAAATATGTTTCGCATCTTGTGTTGGCAATAATGGCTTTGATAATAATATCGTGCGGCTCAAAGTTCCCAGCGTTTCAAGAGAGCAGGCGATATTTCGCACAATTTATTTTTATTTAGCAAGGAAACCGTCTCGGCGAGTCGTTTCTCCGGCAGCCGAATGGCGCGGGCGGGAGCCGCATGTCGGGTGTGCTAATTGGCGCGAAAATAGAGCTGGAGACAAACGATTTAGTTCAGACGACAAAATATTATTTAATTCAATTTTTTTTTTGCTTTATCACATTTAAAAATGTGCGAGAAACTACAAAGAAAGAAATTATTACATTAATTAGAAAAGCTGACGACTTTGCAAACAAACACAGTGATAATACACTTAAGATATTAGTTATAAATTTTAATTAATAATTATTTATAGAATTTTTTGCCACCCACATAGGTGGGTTTGTTCGCGAAACGCACTTTTCAATATTTCATACAGACAGGATTCCGCTCACCGTGTTTTCTTACTCCGCTGGGCATATTGGTGTAAGTGGAGGTCATAACCGATTCGAAACTATTATTATTTTAAAATGAGCTATCAAGGCTGTTAATAAATATTATATATGTCGATTTGATCGAAAAATTGATTATGGAAATTGCTTTCGCTATAGTATATAAAATTTGTTCCAGTAAAAAAAAATCAGTAAAATAAAAATTGTCGACATGAAATTAGATTGTGCTGTTGTAATCTAAGTAAATTATAATGCGTAAATTTTGTTAAATGATGCGTGGTTGTTATTAAAATCTTTAATAATTCCAAGAACTATCGAACAGTTAATTTAAAATGAACTAAAGTTCGCATCCCTAGCACACTCGGTTGGCGTGGCGCGGCCTCGGCCGTGTAATCGGCGGGGCCATTAGACCCGCCCCGGGCCACTCGCAGCCCACACGGTTCGGGATAAGCATCTCCGATGATACACCCTTGTTTCGTCGCGTTCACAGCGCCCTGTATTTTATGTCCGCCTAATGTTGATTTTGGTTTGCGTAGCAATTTCCTTTTTTTTTCTTGCTTCCAGAATTATGCCTTATTTGGGATATAGAATAATATACGAATTAACATAATCTCATCCCGTGTCTGTTGTACAATGTACTCGTACTTACAGCTTACACGTGGTAGAGTCACGCTGTAGCTTATACTGCGTTTTGATTCTTAGACGAAGATAGTTGTAAATATGTTTATGGGCCACAGAATCTGTTAAATAAAACTAATTTTACGGATTAACTACTTAAATTCTCGTTTCTGGCGCTTTACTGGTCACGGGGAAGATTAAGGAGTTTGACATCCTGACGTCATAGTTAACGAAGGTAATCTTCAATCTATATCTATATCTATACCTTTTACATACATCCATATAATTACTCTGAGATCCACAAATAAATAAAATTGAAGTATGGCCTAAAGGTCTAGATACCAGGCCATAAACTGCAAAAAAAATTGAAGTATCCGTTTGTTATTTCAAAATAACATAGTTTTACTAAATGCATATAAAATTATATACAATATGAACTTATATACGGTATTACAACAAGAAAAGAATTTAAAATTTTTTGTCTGTCTGTCTGTATATTCCGGCTAATCTCCGAAACGGCTGGATCGATTTCGACGGCACTTTGACTGGCAGATAGCGGAATAATTAAGGGTTCCGCGCAATAAAATCAAAACCCACGAAATACAACCGTAATAAATTTCACGCGGACGAAGTCGCGGGGAACAGACAGTTTTTAATATAAAGTATTGGTCCGATCTACACAGAACAAGCTTACGGCATCTTGAAATCTTGCAGTAGTATGCTTGAAATCGCCAAAATCATTCTTACGTAATTAACGAATGGCCCCTAACATTCTGATTACACAAAAAGTGTTATGCAAGATATTATACTTACATAATCCTGATAAATTTTAATCCTTTAAGTGCATTGAATAATTGAAAAAAAAACTTTAATAAATAATTACAAATAGGAATAAGAAAAGCTTGTAAAATTTATTACTTTCGTAAAAGTTATAAGAAAATGCTTGTACCTTTGAGCTTGAGACGTCATATGTATGCTGTAACTAATTGACAGAGTTTTACGGAAAGAAAATGTCCGCCGCGCTACCTCAACCCGTGTTTTCACAAAATTTTAATAATTAAGTGTACATTATAAAAACTATACCTCATCTCTATAGTAGCCACTAAAATCATCACAGGTAAAACTCCATTTCGTCTGTATAGTATGAATTATATCAGATATTCTACAGGTGAGAGTTGGAACTGCAATTATCTAAGTACATATTAACTTTAAACGAATTGGTTATTGTTATTTCTTTGTATTTAAAAGTAAAGTTTCGTTTCGGAATTTTAAAGTTGTAGGGCCACACTGCGGGTGAAGTACGAATGCGTTGGTTCAACGTAAAATAGCAATATACAGGGTTATTTCGCAAAACCGTCCAAATTTGCAGAGAATGTTTAGAATAAGTAGGCAATGTCGGCAAATGGTGAAGAAAAATTAATTAAAAATTCTCAAACATTCTGTCCTTTCGTGTTTTTAGAATGATTCAAATTCAATGAACACTCATGTCAGCAACGTTATCTCGCTACGTGCAGTTCAACTAATTTGCATTCCTTATCGAGTATCCGATATACAATCTCCTTTCTGCTCAGTCGCATCGTAATAGGTAGTGCTGCCACATATAAGCAAATTTTTTATTTTTTTATTGACTTTGTTGACGCACACAATATGACGTATAACGTGTGTACAATATAATTATAAAAAAAAAACATTTATTAAAAAATAAAAGACGATTTTAAAGAACTAAAACTAAAATTATTTCAACATCCAAAGTCGATAAAACAATAAATACTAAGACATCATGTTGTATAAAAGAATTAAAATTTAAAACCCCCACTTCTATGAAATTATTTTATTCGTTGAAGATTTTAGAAATCTGTTTTTACCTTTTTAAAAGTTAATTTACTCACCCTTGGGGGGGTGCGCGGTGGTTTATTTTTTTTCAAATTTATATGGGACCATTCCTGAAGTATGTATAATCTATGCACTACAAAATTTTTCTTTAAAATCGTCTTACAATTAACTACGCATATAACTTATTCACTAACAATCGCGTACAAACGTATAAATAAGTGCAATGTTCTTGTGCAAAAGTTAACCTTCTATATATATATATACAGTGTGTCCGGTCACGGACTAGCGATATTTTAGGTACTTATAAGTGACAACTGACACTGCCTGCCTAGGAGTAATAGTGTTCTGTGCTGCCTGCTCTCAAATTATACTACTTATAAATGATGATTCTGATTCTCTGATCTCTCATTCATCATCTCTAATTCATCGAAGATCATAAGTAATCTCAGATTACTATTACTCCTAGGCAGGCAGTGCCAGTTGTCATTTAACAAAGGCCTTTTGTGTTTGCGTATATGCTATGTTCAAACAACAATAATTCTTAAAGTAATAAAGATACAGCTGTAAACTTTATGTTGTATTGTAGCTTAACTCAAAATCTGTCGATTTAGTATAAAAATAAAAAGGGTGAACGGGGTTGTTTTTGCAGTAATTTACAATAATTTGCCGATTAGCATATTTTTTTTGATATTTATTTGAAGTTAAATTTTTTTTCTTCAAAGTTACAAGTATGTCAACAAAAATTTTGATAATGTAAACGATAAACAATATTATTGGCCTCCGAATGAGTTAATTTTTATCTCAGTAAGACTAAAACTTTCAGAGATATGACTTTTTTCGTAAACGCGTAGAGAATATCTCAAGAGGAAAATAAAATGGCTGGCAAATAGAGGGGGAGGGGATTAGACCTCAGTGTGTAGTGTGTTTTTATATTAAAATACCTGTATTATAAGTACCTAAAATATCGCTAGTCCGTGACCGGACACACTGTATATATACTTATAAGTTGAAGTAAACGTTATCCACCATAACTGTTGAGTAACAAAGCAGACTGTTCGACGTTAACAGGACTATCCTGTTAACGTCGAACCGTTGGTGACATGAAACAGACGGCGTAATTACAGCGTCCCGGACCTAAAGTCCGGAGTGCGGGTAATTAGGGTCGCGCCGCGATCCCGCGCCTGGCTAATTGCTGTCCGCGGGTAATTTATGAGCCTAATTATGGGATTCGCCGGGGCTACGGTTGGCATCGTGGCGCAATAATCTGTTTTGAAATTGAATAGTTACAGCTGGGATGCCGTTGGCGGGACTTTTTAGTTATGTCGATTACCATTTTAAAAATGAGTTAATTTGGACACTGGCGTTGAATATAAAGTAGTTATACTCAATTTTTAATATATTTTTATATATTACGTAAACATTCACTCTTTAATGCATTAAATATTATAATCTTAAATTTTGTAATCTATATAGCATAAAAATTACTCTATTCTATTCTATATTTCTCCATCGATTGTTGGTTCTTCGAGCTATAAGGCAGGCCTATTGCCTATTATGCTCTGGTTCTACTACAGATATATTCATTACGAAGTCTATCACCCAAAAACTCTGAGAATAATATCTCTCGAATTCGAAGAATGGACAGTCGATGGGGAAGGAAGGTTCTCGAGTGGCAGCCTCGTACCAGTAAGCTAAGTGTGACATTCAGGCAGTAGATGGATGGTGGTGACTAAGAGCCGTGCTTTGTGGCATTCCTTAGGGGTTCTATTTTCAGCTGTGAACTTGCGATGGGCTGTAATGATGATGATAATGATGAACCCAGACCAGAGACGGACAGCTGTGTCAAGAGTGCCAGCAAGATATTTGGTACCTACTGTGGTCGCCAATTCCCCTGTCAAGTATCGTAATTACTTAATGTTAAAAATTAAGCTAAGATCCGCGAAATACAATACAATGATGTGATTTACCTAGTTTGAAGCGCACCCCCCGCCCTCCCTGAATTTTGTACACCTCAACACCACTACTACCAACACCAGTACACTAAGAAAGATGTGTTTCGCCTATAAAGGAGGCATCTTTAGGTGAAATAGCTGAGATAGCTTTTCGTATTATCGACGGTTATGTGTGTATTTTTTTTTAAATAGAATAAGGGTAACAAACGAATACGCAATCCACCTGATAGTATGTAGATGCTGTGGCCCGTAGACATCCACAATTTATCCTTGATTAAGAATAAAAATGCATGTGTTGTCACCTGTGAGGACTGAGATGGAATGCCTCGTTTCCAGTAAAAATGGCCTACAGTCTCTACTCTCACCATACGAAACACGCTAACAGGTATTTCACGCTGGTATTCTGTGAGAGCGTAGTCCTACCCCGGTTGAGTCGACCAACTCCTGCTACAACCATAATGTAGCTGCAGCGAGGTTCTACCAATTTAAAAATGATGGTGATAATGTTTAAACTAAAACGGTAAATTAATTTTTAGAATTTATATACTTTGATAATTTTGCGCCATCTACCGGCGAGTAGCGATAACAATGCAGACAATTTTTCCTTAGGCAGCTTCTATATTTGGCAAGAGATGGCGCGCCACTATTTCGTAACCGTTACTGTATTTTTTGATATATTTGCGTGCACTTATAACAATACTATATTTTTTTTTTACAGAATGCACCGAATCAAGAACCCGTCTATAGAAAGGTGGCGATCGTTGAAAACTTCTTCGATATTATATACACTGTTCACGTCGAATTGGAAGGCAGACCTGGAAAACATGCTGGTCAAAAACGGACTTATAGAACTGTAAGTTTTAATACTGTTTATGCCGAATATTAAAAACCATATTTCTTACTTTAATATTTTTAAAGAACAGTTTAATATTTCATTACTATCACTGCCATCTATTTCTTTATCTCAAAAACTAATACGCGATGTGAATGCTCAGAAAGTAAGGGTTGCTTTCGGTAACCTTAAATTTATGATAGATGGCGCCCTTAGTATAGTATAGTTATTGTTAAATATTACGGCTTTTTTATTGCAATACTACAAAATCTTACATGAATCTTAATATCAGGGATGAACTATTTTACGAATATTAATTAGTAAGAATACAATAAACCACTGGGATATATTCACAGTGCCTTATTTTTTTTGAATATTATTTACTTTAAAAATAAGCCCGTGTGATATTTTGTTTATACTATCAAATTATGACTAATCTAATTAAAATGTAGACAAATAATTTTTCTGATTCATAACCCTTACGTTACGTATTATTTAACATTAGTGCGTATTTATTTTTAACACTCAAAAGCAATAAAATCAGTTTTGTAGATGTTTTATAAAAATGTTTTCGTATAACGTACAATTGTAAAAGTAAAATATTTATTCAGTGGTCACGTTAGGCAATAACTCGTCCGCTAATCACGGATGTTTTCTCCAACAGATTACGGAAACGTACGCGTTTCTGCCGCGCGAGGCCGTTACGCGTTTCCTGACCGGATGCGCTGAGTGCGCGAGGCGCCCGCGCAGTGCCTCGCCGCCTCCCCTGCCCACTCCCTCACCATCCCCCACACGACACCCCTCGTATTTACCATTCCTACCTCACTGCGCCCCCCGACTACACAAGAAACTGGGAATCTGAAATTGATGCAGCGCATTCCAACTACTCTTACGAACCCAAATTCGATTACACGGAACTCCAGCCACTAAAGAAAGTGGACAGTCCAAAACCAACAGATACGGAGGATCAGGAGCCCACTTACATAGAGCTTACATCGAAAAAAGTAAACGGGTTTGATGCGACGTCACTTTTAAATAGTAGTTCATCTGTTGAACCTGCTTTTCGGGAAGAAGAACCAGTCCGCACTGACCCTGAGATCGATAAAGATGAGAATAGCTTGATCGACGTTGAAGATGTGAAAGTTGACAGCCCACCATCGCTGTTGCTACCACAGGAAAAAGAGGGCGAGGAAAAAGTAAAAGAAGAAAGCGACAAAGAAAGTACCAAGGCTGTAGAAAACTTGGAAGTGAAAGAGTCAATCGTGGAGACAAAGAAAGAGAAAAAATACAATCCACTAGATGTCGCTAATTTGACGTCGAAAGATCCGCCAAAATCGAGATCACCGCCCAGAAAGAAATTGTTACCTTCGAGCATAGAATATTCAAACTCGTACGGAAGGTATCCAAGGCCATGGCGGCCTGACGGTGGTCTCTACTATGGAGAAGATGTTGATTACAGTGTCCCGATTACAACTGCTTACCTTAAACATATGAGGAGTATGGCGTATCAAGATAGCTTGGATGGCGAAACTAAGGTAAGTCAATATTTTATTTTTAAGATGGTTTCTACTTACGAAATAATGATTGTAGTACCTAAAATGTTCAATATTTTTATTGAAACCAAATAGGTTATGATGTATAGTTATCTATATGCAAATACACGTATGTACATAACATAAACACTCACGTCTGTCACCCAGAGGGGTAGGCAGAGACTACGAATTTCCATTTTTCACGATATACACTCCTAATTTGACCCATTTTCAACATATCGCCAATTTGGTCAATAAACTTCCCGGGCGTCCCTTCCCGACTGTGCCGTTCACATCTGCCTTATAAATTTGCTTTGTTACTCTTTCCTCGTTCATTCTTTCTACATAACCAAGCCACCGAAGCATTCCTTTCTTAAGGTCGCTGCATACAGGACGGAATCAGCACGTGCACGGGACGGAGACGGAACGTGGTTGTATGTCAACACGGACGGGAGTTTAATGCATACGCACCGTGATAGTGACTCGAAACTAACGTGTTAGTGTTGTGAAAGATTGATTTTTAATTTGAAGAATTGGCATTAATTGTTATTGGTTTAGATGTTGAGGAAGCTACAACCGTAAGGAGTAAAAGGAGATTTTCTGTACGATATTTTTTCCGTCCCGTTCATGCCACGTCCCCGTCTCGTCCGTGCATCGGTAACTTATGCATGATCACATACATTTTCTATGAAACGATATTTCCAAAATTTTACGTCCCGCTCCGTCCGGAAAAAAACACGTTACGTATGCCGTGACCTTTTATCCTGGTTACAACATCATCTTGCACACCACACTTTTCTCTTACCACACATTTTCTCACCCCGTCGTTCAGGTTCAGCCCTAGCATACTCCTTAAAGAGCGCATTTCACTACCATACATTAAAGTAGGGATTAACACAGACTTATGAATTACCATATCGCAAAAAAATTAGTTAACTTTTCAAAAACAAGTATTTATGGTTCGGGTTAGTTCTCTGTTGTCCGACTATGTCTGAACACACGGCTGAAAAATAGCATATTGATAGATATTTATTTACTTACCGTGTCGTAGCGGTGTAAAAATATCCACTACCCCATATTATCCCATAGGTGTCGTAAGAAGCGACTGAAGGAAACAGATCAGATGGGTAGCGGCGTTTTCTTAATAACAACTAAAAATGAAAATAAGCTTGCGGTCACCCCATCGAGCAAACGTGGCACCTATGGCAAGTATTCCCCTTATGAAACGTTATTAGCACGTGAATTGAAACGAACATTATTACATTTGTATTTGAAATATAAGTTATTCGATCGCAATGTCGATCGCTAAACAGGTATTATTGGAGCGAAGCGAGCAGAGCTCCCATGGCGCAAGAAAACGATTCTTTGAAATCTATCTCCTCCTTAACCCGTAGGCCAATTTACATAATTTTTCGGCAATATTTGTAGCTCAACGCACAATTCGGCAATATTTGTAGCTAAACGCAGCAAGGTTTGTAAATAATAAAAATTTTAATTAGAGTTTTTTTCTTTTACTATTTTAATAGGTACATTATCGAATTGATTACATGAGCTGATTAATTTGAATTGATTACATGAGCTGATTAATTTGAATTGATTACATGAACTGATTAATTTACATCTGCGCAATGTCACTTCATTTGATGGAATCTTTTGTTGAAATAAAGATAGTTATGACTTTAGACTTTGACTGCGCTACGTTTATGATGCTAGGCAAAAGGTTTTATAGGTACCTTTGCATGTGCATCGGCCCTAGTAATTTACATTTTAAGTTTGCATGAGTGCTATAAAAGCAGATCTAAGATTGTGTAATATTGTTAATGTGCAATGCTAGCACTTACGAACTGTGTGACCTTAAAACAAAATTTTACATTACTCTACAGTTTGAATAATATCAACGATTGCTTTTTTATAACAGATGGACTCAACAATAATATCAGTTTACGATTGTGACTTAGTTTGGCGTTTTTTTTTTTTTTTGCATTTTGACTCCGTGTACGGAGGCTGCAGAAACCTGCCTTATGAGTGAGGCATGGTTTCTTTAAAATTTTTTTGGGAAAGGAATTGTTATATTTGAAATTGAAACTCTTTTTATTTTAACGTAATTGCCCATACTTTGGTAGGTTGGGTTTTGTGGGGTGTGGGGGGCGTTTTTTGGCCCTTTTTCGGCCCGCGGGGGCCACCGGGGTTTTGTTTTGTATTGGTGGATGTGTTTTTGGCTTTAGGGGTGTTTTCTAAATACCATACCTATCGTTTAAAAATGCTTTCGCCAGTAGTAAAAACTACCTCGCTAGCACCTGTACCTCGCGACTGCTGATAATGGGGGCCCGGTTTCGAATCCCGGGTAGAGGCAAAACTCAGTAATAAGATTTTTCTATCAAGAAATTATCTGTAGCAGTCGGGAGTCTAATGCAACCTTCGATCATTAAATGCAACTGATCTTTATCCGGTAGTGTCGGACTCCAGTCGCAAAGGCTTATGAGAGTGAGAATAAGATACTGTACCTGTGTGTGCAGACACACTCGTCCACACTATCGCATAGATGGAAAATATCAGTTGAGACTGAACGCCGTGAAAGAAAACTGGAGAACAATATTATTATATAACTCTTCTTTTAGAGTGGTGGACCGCCGAGCATACAGATGGTGTGGATGGTATCGGAAGTTTTTCTACTGAATTGTGGAGGCAGTTTACAAACTTAAATTGCACAAAGACAACTTTTATTTACATATAAAATTCTTCTGTCCGTGTGTGTATGACTGAACTCATAAACGGATGGACCGGTTTTGATGAAATTTTGTGTGTGTGATTAAGCTAATTCGAGAATGGTTTAGATTCACAATTGTACACGGTAGATGGCGTTGTTGTCGACGTCCAGAAATCACCCGAGCGAAGCCGGGGCGGCTCGCTAGTTATATGAATGCTTTCATTAAAGTCTAATATTCTCAACGTTTCAGAACCAAGCTAGATCGTAATACTATAATAGGTTTAGTCAAATTTGACTATATTATTACGTATACTTTGGAAAGCGGTCTAATAGACCGTCATTTTATAATCCTCATTACGAACGTATTTTATCAGAGAAAATTTTGTGCGTAAAATAAACACGATACGAAACTTGCGGGTTAACCCGAGCTTAAACTTCATCGAGCAACTAAAACGGTACAAAGAGGCCGCGGTCGTACCGACCCACAGGCCCGCCTTTGTATCATCTATGCTCCCTTGTTATGATTTCGAAAATGTTGTTTTCGAATTGTAATTTTGATATTTGGTGGTAAGTTCGAAAATTTTGTTGGATTTTTTAACGCAATTGTATAGGGTTTGCTTCCTAAATTATAAAAGGAGAATTTTTCTAACCTGGTCTGCATGTTTAAAACATAATGATTTGGCAGACACAAAATTATAAAAATAATAATACCTATGCGCTTACATTATACTGACTTATCATTTGGTAGCTGTAGCTATATTACAGTTGTATCATGAATGGGTTGGTTCGACCGGGGTAGGACCACACTCTTACAGAATAACAGCGTAATGCTGCGTTTTTGCTGTGTTTCGTACGCTGAGTGTTGAGATCAGGAGAGCCTTTTTACTGGAATCGAGGCATTCCATCTTAGTCCTCAGAGGTGACAACGCATCTGCGTTTTGATTCTTAATCGAGGATAAATGTTGTTGTTTATGGGCCACAGCAACCACTTACCATCAGGTGGACTGTGTGCTCGTTTATCATCCTTATTTTATAAAAAAAATACACGGACTGAATATAGTACTGGGAATAATACATGGTAAAGCATGAACTAAATAAAAAGTTATTAGAAAACAAAAATGATCTCTAATTCAAGTATTATCTGTGGTACTAAAGTTAAACTTCCGGGACGCCCATTTTACCTATTGGACTAACATTAATTTCGGCACTACTTTTTTTTTAATATGGAATAATAGTGACAAACGAGCACACAGTCCACCTGATAGTAAGTGGGTAACTGTGGCGCATAGACATCTACATTTATTTCCGATTGAGAATCTATATGCAAATATTTTTCACTTATAAGAAACAGTAAAAAGGGTTTCCGGTTCTCTACACTAATTATACGAAACACAGCAGCATTAAGTTACTATTTCGAACTGGTATTCTGTGAAGGCGTGGTCCTATCCCCGTCGCGCCGACCCATTCGTGTTACCTACAACTGTAATATAGCTGCAGCGTGACTCTTATTGCGCCCTCCTTTCTGCCGAGGAGGGTCGCGTTCGTATACGGTTTAGAGATCTCTCGTCAGATCGGTAAGCCAATCCATAAAGGCGGTGTTTAGTGGGTAAAAGTCTCCACATAACCACGCAGCCGGCTGTGTGGTATGCTATGAGCATTCCCCACCTCCCTCCCCCGCTTTCCGGAGGATTGCCCATATTTGCTTCGGGCACAAAAAAAAAGCGTGGCTCTATCACGTATTGGTCTGAAACGAAAAATTATTAAAAACAAAATGACGCGTAAAAAATAAACAATTATACGAAGATTTCGGGGATATTGGAAATCTGATGCTCATTTAGTCGTATCCTGGCTATTCTGGCTGGTTCGGATATGTTAGTTTGTAATCTGTATCACATGTAATTTAAATTGTGATTGCAGTCTGGCACTGAAAAGAAACCTACTCCAATATTCTGAGCTGTTCTAATTTTTTTAAAGTCGAAACATCAATAATGCACACGCACACATCATGTACGCACGCCTGCACGCACACACACACACACATATATATATATATATATATATATATATATATATATATATATATATATATATATATTATACACATTTTGCATATGATTAAGAACCGATATCAATACAATAATTTCATATTTTTGACCTGGTATGCTCACTACGATCATAACAGCATATTGTATGCTGTGCTTTTAGTTTTTTGACTGTAACGTTATTATCAAACATGCTTTTATTTTATTTCACGTTCGATGAATGAAGGAAATCATTTCATCTGATTAACGGCGCGATACGAATCTCGAGCATTTTATTGTGCGCAGTCTGTATCAAGACGCTTTATGAGCAATTGGCTTGGTTCGCAGTAAACTCGCTATCTTATATGAGGGTTTGTAGTTCGAATACGCAAACCTATCCACATCCTATATATATAACCTATCAACCTAGCAACAGCGAGTGAGGCTAGAACAATTCTGTGTTTAAGTAATTTACAAAGAGGTTTCTTTTAGGTTAAGATTTTTGCTTGATCTCGAATATCATCCAAGGAGAAAGGGGGATGCCCACTGTTCATAGACACTTCGGCCATGGGTGCCCACATATAAAAGCATATGGAAATGATAATATGCAATTAAAATAATGAAATGGTTAAGGAATTGGTTTAAAAAAAGTCGGGATTTTTATGATATAAAGCTTTTTATTTTCACAAATACAGTTTTTTAACGACTACTTTTACCAATTTTATTGCTTTTAATTTCTTTAACTTTTAATTCCCGACGCGTGATTTTTTTTTTGGAGGCCTATGCCAAAAGGCACACCGAACAGAGGGACTTACTTTAACTAGTATTACAATAGGAACTCAAACACAAATATTATGTAACCCCAAAGTTCGGAAATAAATGGCTATATTATTATTATACTATTATTATTAATTCCTGACGTTTCAGGTGCTTTATAGCACCCATGGTCACGGGGTACTGAGGTGACTGCCATCCCAATGTCAGTATTGGGACATGGAGCATTCAGCTTGTTTGTAGGTTATCGTGTTGTTATGGATTTAGATTATAAATTTTAGGTTAGAAAATACTTCCTTATTTTTGTAACTATAAAGGTACATTATTAAGGTACATTATTGAGTGGGTTCACCGCTCATTATTATATTGAAAAAGCAACGTTCTTGGTTTTGATTTTAAAATTTTATCTGTTTTGTTATTTAAAGTAAATTAGCTTTCTTGTTAAATGAATTAAATAGCTTTATTTTTGGACACAAATGCAATGCCAGCTCAGGCGTTAAAGGCGTCCGTCCGCTGTATATCACATAATACCCCAACAAGATTCCCCAATACCCACCGACATCGGTGAATTTGTCAATCGCAATTTTTCGTGCTGAAATACTATGTGTTCGGCGGTGAAGAAAACGTCGTGAAGCAAAGCAAAGCAAACGTCTTCGTGTCTGAGAATTGAAAAAATATTTTAATAATTAAATTAACATAATTCAAAAGTTACGTTTAGTCCACCAGCACCAACACGCAACACGCACTGGGACAGGGGAGTATGCTTTTCTCTATACCATCTCTATGAAGTCTTTAGGCTAATTATTTATTTGTGAACGTCATTTTTTAAACCTTATAATAGCTGTAAACAACTCTCGTATTATGATTGGTAATGGTCGAACTTTTTGATGTGTATTGAAACGAGGCGAGGCCTTTTAGAAGTTTTTTTTCTTAAATTTTGAAATACATTTGTGATTTATTATAAGCCAGTGTTTGACCTTTTGACCTGGTGTTGTATAATGTCGCCTCTACACGTTGGCCAACACAGTGGCGAATGGACTGGCGAATATATTGGCCGAGAGTTAGTGACGGCGTTAACACGTTGGAAGGTCATGTGCGGACGAACGACGGCTCCGTGGCGCAGTGGCTTAGCAATGAGTAGCTGTGCCGGGGGCCGCGGGTTTGAATCCCGCACGGAACAAGTATTTGTATATCCTACAAATAATTGGTTCGGGTCTGGATGTGTGGCCTTGTGCAATTTATGTTTTTAAGCTGCTTCCGCGATACAGGAGAAAATCCAAGTGTGGGGGTTACGTTTTTATAAAATAATTATAAAAGAATAGTGGATATTAATGGGGCTGTAAATAGAAATACGATATACGATTAGGTTTATTTATTCTTTACATGCATCATAAACTGGAATAAATACCATTAATAAGAACTTAACTTATTTTAAAGTTAAAGGAGTTATAATCGATTAGTCTATGTTTTAAAATTGGGTTTTGATTTTAAAGTTTAGCAAAATATGTACTTGCATTTCTATCAGACATTTCATGTATATAAAAAACACCTTATAATTTATTTGGTATTATTTAATTATTTTTTGAGAAAGACAAAAACAATAGCAATAAATATAATTAAAACTGACTTGATAATAGGTACTAATTATAACTTAGAACATAAATGAAAAACTCATGACGAGCAAAGTGGCTCAGGACCATGCTTTGCGGCAATCTGTGGAGGAGGATGTTCAGTAGTGGACTTGTGAACAGCTGTAATGATGATGATGATTCGAAAACTTGCACGATTGAATTATAAGAAGTCGACGTTTTTTTCGACAAACGAGCACACAGTTCACATGATGGTAAGTAGTTACTGTGGCCCATAGACATCTACATCTATCCTCGATTACGAATCAAAATGCAGATGCGTTGTCACTCGTGAGGACTAAGATGAAATGCCTCGTTTCCTTTAAAAAGGGTCTCTGGTTCTCTACACTAACCATACGAAACACAGCATCATTAAGCTACTATTTTACGCTGATATTCTGTGAGAGCGTGGTCCTTCCCCGGTTGAGCCAACCCATTCGTGCTACAACTATACTTCTAATATAACTGCATGGTTCTACCACGTATAAACGACGTGCTTCATTTTTTTTCATTTTAAAATTGTTCTCGTAATAATCTGATTGTAAATTAATGTTCGTTATTTTTTTGATAAATAGTTAATCGATTAAAACAAATGTTTAAAAATAATTAAATCGCACTAATTAAAGTAGTAGGAATTTTTAAAGTTGAAATTGGCACTAAAAGGCTGGTAATTGGGGCATCCATCCTACAAAGCTTGAGTATAAAATTTAAATCAGATGCGTGTAATCACTCTGGGAGCTTGTAGCAAACTAAACGCGTGGCCAACGTGTGGACGCGGCGACCAAACTCTGCCAACAATCCTTTGATCTTTTGTAAAAAACCGACACCACACGGATCTCGCGCCAGCTTGTGGGCCATCGTCCTAATACATACCAAAGAAGCCCAAACACCCCGTCTACACGTTGGCCAATGCTATTGGCCACTACATTCGCCACTGTGTTGGCCAACGTGTAGAGGCGACATAAGTCGAAGATGGTACACCGCACTCTCTTAATTCAGAAGCCTACATAACTGAAACATAAAGTCATATTGTTTCTAAGAATTTATTATGGGACTGACGTCGTAAAGTATGATTTCGCATTTATTATATAACGTGTTTGAGCCATGCTGCAGCCATATTAATATATAGTATAGTTGTAGCACGAATGGGTCGACTCGACCGGGGAAGGACCACTCTCTCGCATAATACCAGCGTGAAGTAGTAGCTTAACGCTGGTGTGTTTCGTACGGTAAGTGTAAAGAATCGCAGACCCCGGAGACCAGAAAAAAACTGGAAACGAGGCATTCCATCCTCAGGGTTGACAACGCATCTGCATTTTGAATCGTAATCGAGGATAGATGTAGATGTCTATGGGCCACCGCAAACACTTACCATCAGGTGGACTGTGTGCTCGTTTGTCACCCTATTCTATAAAAAAACCAACTTTAAAACAAAATTAGAAAGTTATCAATGTTTCTACGTTTTGTTTTAATGTGAGAAATTTTCTTAAAGCGGAGGTTTGTTATATTTAAGCGATTCATATGTTTTTTTTTACCAACAGTGTACAACCAACTAGCGCAAATTTCAATCAAATTTGACTGTTCGGTGATTTAAGTCTGTTCATATATTTTTTAATAATTCGTACGACGAAAGTTTTGATAGTTTTGAATGTTTTAATAATATAAAGTAATAGGTAGTAGGTAGTAGTTACATGAGAAAATACTTTTCTTTCCAAATATATTTAAAATGTAAATCATACTTTATAGGAGAAGTCACTAGGTCCTCTTTTATTTGATTTTTACATTAATGTAAATGATTAGGTGTGGTTTTAAGGGTTTTATTAGTAAGTATATATATTTTTTATGGTTAAATTGGAATATGGATGATTTCACCAGACAGATCATTTTTGAAACGAAAAAACTTATTGTTAGGTGTCAAAGCGACTTTAAAGGTAATGCGAGCAGGATTTATTCGCGTAATGCGTGCGCCACCTGACACGTAACCCTGTAATGCTCGCGGGTCTCCTGCGACCCACGATTGATTCGAACGAATGTCTCGCACAAAGGACCAGAGCGTTACGCCATAATCGGGCGCCGCATCTTTTCTAACTCATTTTTCTCGCTTGGGGCGAAGTCGGGGGGTGGTTCTGGGGTGGCACGGGGGCAGGCACGAGGTTTCATCAGCCGGAGGGGGCGTCACGGTATTAGACAAGACACAAAAACGATGCCCGGCGGAGAAGTGGGCAAGTACACTTTCTGATGACGGTTTTTTGCGGAGCCGTAGTACGATGTTTTCGTGTCTTACGGCAATATATGAAACTGTGAAAAAGTGATAATGCTAAACGACATGTAATGGAAGATACTTTCCTTGTTGTATTTGAGCACTTGAATGTTATATAAAATATTATAAAATATAACACTGTATTTACTTAAATAGGATAGTTGTATAAAATAAAAAGAAGTAAGCGTTTTAAATATAATTATTGGACCATCTTAATTTTGGATACTTTTAAACCTTTGTGTACTTTTTTTGATCTATATATATATATAT